CAATTGCCTGGAGGGACTGGGGAATACCATGAAACATCTGTCAGGGTGGCCAGGCTTAAGATGTAGAACTGGACCCTCAGGTTCCTAGTGCAAAACTAGAATACTATTCACTCAGCCAGAAATTCCTTTAAGTGTTGTCCGTAAGTAATAATATCATGAAGGTGGATATTGCTCCTTGATCCATGGGTTGTAAAAGTGAGGTTGTGTTTGGTGGAAGGAAGACAGTCTTGACCTCTAGGCCATTGGTATTCAAATCACTCAAATCTGGAGGGTGACCAGGGGCATTGTCCATGGTTAATGTAATTTGTTTTTTCTCGTCGCATTTTATATTCAGTTTTTTGTTTAATTATTTAAATTTTAGGCTGTAGTTTATCATTTAGTATTATAGTTTTATTACAATGGTGGGACCATCTGTGTCTAGGAAGTAGGGCAGAGTCGTGACTCATCACCCCCTCCAATCGTGATCTATGAGAGGCGCAAAAGTGAAGTGGGCATAAATTGAAGCTGCGTAAACCGAGTCCTACCAGTACTTCTGCATAAATTACCTTGTAATAATGCATTAGTTGCAAATTTCAGGTTTTTATGGTAGTGAAAATGTTGATGTTGGTAGTTTGGGTTGTAATACCATGTGGATTTTTTTTAGGCAGATATCAGTGTTTTGCAAAAATTATACTGTCTCCATCTTCAGCCTCTCAGGGCAAGTCCACTCAACCCAGAAGAACAGCATAGACAGGAACACCAATTATTTATTGGATCGATAGAGAATAAAAGTTTTGTTCCTTTTGCTTCATTTGTAGTACTTCATTTTCTTTATTAAAACTGTAAGTTAAACTTAATGCTACAGATCATTCATGTGACCATATAAGTTATTTTGCAGTGGAAACACTTGGTTGTCTTTGGAATAACTTTTGTCTGGTCAGTTCCTTCATTGTTCGTCTGGCATGTATGTTCATGTACTTTTTTATTTATATTGTTTTGTTAATGATTTTATGTTCGCAATGTCTATTTACATTGACATTTTATACAGTTGTCAGAATATTTACAACATAGTTTGTTTTTTAAACACTGTAACGAGCAAGCTAACCAAAATACAAATTAAAGTTTCAGTCGAATAATACGGATTTGCTATATTTCACTTAGTTATGTTCATCTGCTTTTGTCTTTCAAACTACCACTTTCCATAATACTTTTTTAAAATATTGTTAAGAGGAATAAAAAACAATTATATCAAAATGAGATAGTGAGAGAACAAGAGAACAAAGTTGAGGGTGTATTGAAATGTGTTGTGGTAAATATGATACTCTGTTCATACAGTAATTAATTTCATGAAGCACAGGGTGTGTAATGTTATGTCTTAATCATATCTAAAATCTTTATGTTGTATTCTGCAGCGTTGAATGTCTGTGACCGTTCCTTCCTGCCATATGTATATGTTACATGTAAAATACTTTTGGAATGATTTTATTCGGAGGTTGGCATCTCTTGTATACATGTTGCAAGTTACTGTCTCCATCATCAAAGCACTGCTTACGATCATTTACACATCAGTGTCACAAGTCACAATTTGAGCATTTCATCATTTGAATATCCCAGTGTTTTCAGTATATATTTTATCCATCTGAGATTGTTTTATTCCATTTGTATTGACTTCCAGTCTCATTTATTCCACTATTGTATATTGCATGTTGTACTGCAAGCAGAAATAACTTCAATACTGCAAGTTCTCTTAGTATTTGTGTACAGAACTTGGCCAGTGTAGGACACCGGGATGATTATGCTCGGTGAAGTCTTCTTGGGTTATAAAGTGCATAATTTCTAATAGAATGCAGGAATTTTTAAAGACTCTTCTACTTCCAGTATCATGACTAAGAAGAACAGGAACTGATAACGCTTATGAAGTTATACTTTCCTTTGGTTTCAGTGTTTCTGTAACAAACACATAAATAATAGTTGCCTTACAATGTTGATGTAGGCTGTGTGAGGATCTTCCATTATAGTATTATGCAAAAGTTGTAAGACATATTGAAAAAAAGAAAAAGGGGAAAGAAGAGGGGGGGAAACTAAAAAAATTGTAATATCAGATTTGAGGTTTTGATGATGGTGAATATGGGTTCTAAAGATGGAGGTAGTATGTTCCTCAAAAACGTTGGTGTCTAACTACAAGTCCACATGGCAGCTCAGAAGACCAACATTGAAAAACTTAAAAACCTCTTAACCCCACATGTTCTCCGTGTTGGGTGCAGTGGTTATACCACTGTGAATTAGTGCATTGCATTTCCTTTGCCATGCATGTCAAGTCATTTATGAGGACAGCTTGCACTGTGCGAAGGTGACGGCAGTAAGCAACAAGAAAAGCTTACGTGACATCTGAATGCAATGAAGTCTTCTCAGGCCCAAAACATTAGATTTCAACTCTAATCTCATCAAGGTTTATGATGGAGGCAGACAGTCTTTGAAGTGTTGGATGACATAAATTTTCACACAGCTGATCATCCAAGAAGGGTAAATTTCAAGAGACTTTAGAGTATTTTCCCTGTATTTTACATCCAAACACACAAGTTATGTAGTAGCAGCTGTAAGTGGCACTGGATGGTGGAGTGGGAGAAACACTGACAATAAGGGAAGATGGCTACCAGCCTAGTGCAAAGTATCTACCACTAATTTGATTGCTTCATCTAGCTAGCTCCCATGCAGGAACATATTCTTTTGCAGAAGACCACGCCATTTCTATTGTATTCAAGTACAAGTGATATGACAGAAGTCAAATTATGCTATGACCATTTTCTGTTAGTAAAGCTTTAATTTTGTACGTTTTGAAGCGTGACTTACTCCTATGAACGCGGCTGTACAATTCGGGCTTAAACATTTTCTGTTTAGAAGGCATGTTATGATTTGAAAACAAGTTTATCATTTCAGATTTTTGGCTCAGACAATTGGTACTCGATTAATTTGCACTTGAACTACTTCTAGTAATTCCAGAAAGTGATATTTTTATGGTATTCACTGAATTTCTGACCTGTTATTTATAGAGATGCGGCATTTGGAATAAGCTTGTGATCACTGTGCTTTATTATTGAATGACAGTACAGAAAATGAAAAAGGTTACCATTCATATTTGTTGTATTCAGAACTAATATCTGGTATTCATGAAATTTGGTATTTCGAGTGCATTTTATTTAGCTCTACATTAGTCCAGTGTAATTCCTATATACACGGAGTTGATTAAAAGTTTGTCATATTGATTGTGTTCTTTTGGATTGTGACCCAGTGTAGTCTTGTAGGTGGTTACTAATGTTTCATAGGAACATACTGCCTCTACAGCCCTCTGAAACACTGCAAGGCTACGTAAATGGCATCACAATTTAGAAATCCACAGTTAACGTTTTCATCACTGTGATAGTCCCAAATCTCAGAAGTTTATAATTTGTATCAACTGATCATCATCCAAAACATTTATACATAAAGTGCAGTGTAGATTTTAAGATAAATGCATCTTTTATTTGAAATGTTTTCCATTAGTCTATAGGTTATGAGAAAAATAAATTGACTTTATAGTATTATTACCTTTGCAATACCAGATTATATCTTCAATGAATGAATATCAAAATGAATGAGTTACACAAAACTGGAAAGATTGCATTTGGAAATTATGGATTGGAAAATATGTGATGTGTGAAGTGCATCTTTCTACTCTTGCTTGTGAGAATATTTGATTCTGTGCATCATGGCTAATTTGTAATAATTTAATATTATATCACAGTTTTCTGTAGACTTAAAATTTCTTGTCAAGAATGACAGGAAAATCTAAAGTAGGATTTTAGAATCATTTTTATTAAAAGGTCTAACAAAGCAGAGTATAAAAATTAACTACACTGATAATTGTTTAATTAAAGATTATAATATGTTTAATGCGGTGCAAATAATGATTTAAAAAATTATTCGCAACAAACCAACACATACATTTTAACATTTAATATTATAGACTATACACTTCATCGTTTGACCAGGTTGTAATAAGACGTTAATGCTCTCTGAATTGTGCTGTTCTGTCAAAAGTTAGTTTCTGATAAAACAATGGAATCAGTAGAGAGGAAATAAAACAATGTTTGAAAGACGTATTCATGCATTCAGTGAAAGTTATGTAAATTACATTGCAGTTTTGTTTCTCTTTTGTGAATAAAGTGTGTGGGTAAGAGTCATTGAATAAATATGCTGAAAAGACATGTATATGTTTTGCATTGGCTGCAGTCTAATAATGATTTTTAAAAATAATCACCAACCAATTTTTATTTTATAGTTAGATGTAAAGGTTAGAATATACAAAACTGCAGTTCTGCCTGTTGTTCTGTGGGTGTGGAATTTAGTCTTTCATGTTAATAGAAGAAGATGGGTTGAGGGTGTTTGAGAAGAGAACATTTTTACTCAAGGGGTAGTAACTAACAAGATACTGGAGAAAACTGCATAATGGTGTCTTCAGATATCACTAGGATGATTGACTCAAGAGGACAAGACAAGTGAGAAATGTCTGCAAAATTGTAGTAGGAAAATCTGAACTTGTGAAGATGTGGACTGCATTCATCTGGCTGAAGAGAGGAACGAGTGGCTGGTTCTTGGGAAATGATTATTTTGGTTCTGTAAAGGGCTGGGAATTTAACAAACTGACTGCTGCATTCAGATAGTCGATTTACAAGTAGCTGCATAATATAGCACTTACTTTATTTTTTAATGTTATATTATGTGTTGCTTCTTACACTGTGATGATGAGTGTTGCATGATGTCAGTATGTAAGCCTACTCACTATTTATTTTTTAGTGTTCTTTTCAGTAGTTGATGTTCCACTTTATTTATTTCTCATTTTCTTTGTCTTTATTTTTATCTTACCTTCCGTTCCTTTGTGGTTCTGCCCTTTCCAACACACTGTCACCCACCATTGCCCCTTGCATAAATCACACCGCATTATGCCTTATCACATCCACATGGCCAAAACTGGCACCATACAGCAACAGAACCAATGTAAAGTCCGGAGTGTCCGCCCTGTCTTCCACCAGCACGGCGTTTGGAACGGCAGCAGCCAATACTCGTCTTGACTCACATACCAATGGCATTGATGAGTCACTGAAACAACAGGTGCTTGCCGAGGAAGAAGCAGCCATGAATCAGTACAAGGTATTTATCTTCTTAATATCTCCGAAGTCTTAAGCCGATTGTGAATAGATACTGTAGGAAAAGATTACAGTTGAGAAATAGATGTGCGTCAAACATTTAAGATATCATTTTTTCCATGCTTAAGTACTAGAGTAAAATATTACAATGGATCTCGAAGTAATACAGTAAGGAGTGGGCAGCTTTGATCTGGGTTAGAGTATGGGTCAGTAGTAGTCTCTTATGAATGTGGTAATGGATCTTTGGGACGCATGAAAGGCGGGGAATTTTTTTATCAGCTTTAGTGACTGTTAGCTTCTGATGAAGCACTGTGTTGCATGCAGTTTATTGTTGTTTATGTTGATGAGGAAACCCGATAAAGAAGTGGACATTTTTTTTCAGGAATGTTATACATGTTCATTATTGCCCATCACATGATATGATTTCTTGTTCTGTAGCAGCTTGCTCGATAATATTTTTAGGCCAAAGTGTCGTCTCCTACCAGCAGTGGTGGACCTAGTACCAATCCATTCTTGAGTTCTCCAACAGCAGCAGCTAGCAGCACTGCACAACCCATTGTTGATCTGTTCGGATCTCTGCCTGCCACAGCTGATGCACCTCAGGTTATTAATCTTTATTGTCTTTATTATTTATTTATGGTTTATTTAATGGTGCTGTCAGGTGAGACTATGGTATGTTGATTAATGAACAGTGGATTCAAAGGATATAAAAGGAAATGATTGTGGCCTAATTTAAAGCACTAGGGACTGAGGAACACCTTGGGAAACAGTCAAGATGCACAGTCTCCAGAACAGATTTGATCCTGGGATGCCCCAGATAAAAAGCAAGCTATCTGATCACTCAGCTGTTATAATTGGTTTCACTGTCTTCAAAATTATAGACCTGTCTGAGCTTTCCTTAGAACAGGGATGTGTATTTGTGTACACTTGGTGGCTCAGTTGCACTATTTTGAAGTGACTGAGCTGAAGAGCCTTGCAGAAAAAAAGTTAAAAACTGTTACATACTCATAGGTCTCAGTTATCTACTCTGACTGAAGAAACTTCATACATGTTACTGGGAATATCCAGAATCTGTTTAGACTAGTCCTAGACGAAACTGGAAACTGCTACCACTGCTGGGAGTTTCTAAAATTTCCTAGGTGTACATGAAGAGACACTTGAGGTTTTCCTGGTTTTGCCTAGGGCAAACTAGTTTAGATGGATTTTGGATATATCTGGTAACAGATATACCAAAATACATTAACATTATTGGTAATTTATTTAGAAGGGTTGTTTTTTACCAGATATTTTACAGGTGATTTGTTTAAGGAAGGCTTTTTGAACAGGGTATGTAGCACATAAGGGAGAGATGTGAAATGTTTACAAAATTACAGTTGGACAACCTGAAGGGGTCACTTGGGTACCGAGGCATAGATTGGAGGATAATATTAAAATGGCTATAATGCAGTAATGTGAGGGTGCGGGCTGGACTCATAACATTCATTAAGGTTTTCTTGTCTTTTGAATATAAATTAGTATAATTTATGTACTTATGTAATGGGTGGATTTATTTGTAACCTATCACTACTTTGTATGAACTCTTTACTTGTATCATGTGGAATCTTTATAATAGTATGAATTGTACTTGTGTGTGTGTTTGTAGTAATATGCTTTATTTCACATCCTGTTAACATTTGGCTAACTTGCAGGCCCATGGAATATAGTAAAGATGTATGTAATTTTTTTATCACTAGTTGATATACATGGGCACACTAAACAGATAAACCAGCCCCTTTCACACCCTCTGCCAATAGGAAATGAACCAGAGCCCTGTAGTCTTACTTGGTATAAACTAACATTGGTGCAGCCATGTTTGCAGTCTGAATGCAACTGATGCACCAGATCTAAAGTCACCTTGAGTGATGTTCTGATGTCTGAGCTTACGAGTTTCAGTACTACCCAACAACATAGATCTGAGTTTGCAGAGATTATTTCTTTGCTGTTTACATTCTTAGTGCCCCATATAATATTGTGACGTGGCGCTGAAAGAGCACACGGCTCGCACTGGAGGGGAGAGGCTGCGTAACTCCCCTCCCTGGCTAGTGGAAGTAGACTTCAGGTGTGACAACCGCGGAATGTTCCAGTTGGCATATTCTCCTCCTTAAAACAACCTTAGAGGAAGCAAATCTTCTAGATCCTTGGAGTCTGGAACATTCCGTGACTGGGCCGGCGAATATAAAAGGTCGCCTCCCCGAGTGTTAGTAGTCCTCAAGTCGCAGAGGCCTTCAGCCGAAGCGGCCCCACCCTCTCTGGGTTCAAATCCCAGAGAACCAACCAACCAAAATCCTTTGCACACAGGACATGTTGCCTGATGGGGTAACCTCTCATCAGCAACAACAGACCGTAGTTTGAATAGTCGAGGCTTCCGCCACGACAAATCCCCCGTTAGCTTAAGCATGTTCCCATTTTAGTTATAAGGCTCTGTTTGCCATTTCCAGCAGTGTATTTTGTACTCAGGAATGGTGATACCTAGCAAGGGACGATGCCTTGCACTTGCGCAGGATTCCACCCTTAGTTAGCTTTTTGGTTGGTTTGGTTGTTAGTAGTTTTGGCATGAGTCTTGTGTGGGGTCTCTGATGGAAGAGTGTGTAGAGAGTTCTGAGGCATCGAGCAGTCTGGTGTGGCACCAAGGGCTGAGAGAGGATCATGTGTGTATGTAAGGAGCACTGGGTTCGTGGACCATGGCGGCTGAGGAGCCGAGGGCTGTGTGTGTGTGTGCGTGCGTGCTTTTGTGCATGTGGAGAGCGCCAAGCTTGGGGGACTAGGACGGTTCGAAGGACAGTGCATGTGATCTGAAGAGAGAGTGTGTGTGTCACGTATAGAGACAGAGACCTAGAAACTGTATTAGGAGAGTTTCCTGTGTGTGCATACTCTGTAAACTGATTTATTTTCAATAAATCAAGGTTGACATAAATCCCATAGTCAATAGTTGATAGACGTTGACATCACAATGTACTGCATTGTAGTTCATTTAGTTGAATGCGTGAAACATTTTAAATATTTTATGTAGGATTTGAGTTTTTCATTGCAATATGAGTGTAAATGGCAGTCTTCTGTGTTGTTACATTATGGTTGTATACCAACATTTTAGAGAAACATATTGTCTCCATCTTTAGGACTTAAGATTGCTGCAGTATGTTCCTGGTATGGCACAACAACCCAGAAGACGTCATCTGTTTTGAATATTTGTCTTTATTAATCTTTATGTTTCCATTGTGTCCTCAGTCAACTAAAGCCTCCGATGACTTGCTGCAGCTGAGTGCCAACCCGTTTGCTGACATATTCTCAACTCCACAACAAACTGCTTCTGTCCCAGTAGCAAGTGCTACATCTGACATGTGGTTGTCCAATGGTTGGTAGCATTTATATTGTGCATTGAGTCTTTCTTGTATGTTTTGAGAAGACTACACAGGCATTTTTTACATTTACAGGTTTCCGGGGTGTTCAGCCTGCTACAAATGCATTTGTGTCAGACCAAAATTTTAGTTCTGTCTTTGGAGGAACAGAGACTGGTTCTGGTGAGTAGTGATTACAAATTAAAACAAATGAGGGCAGTGGATTGAACTTGAATGTCCACAATTTAATACAATGTATTGTGCTAAATTTTCTCACCTGCTAACGCCACTTTGAACTTATATTTTAATTTATATAGTTTTGTCACATATTAGTTTACTTTTGTTACTTCTGTAAGTCACATGTATATAACATGAGGAGTTCATTATTTCAGTTCTGTTTCTTAATAGCATTTGATTATTGCATTTTCCTTCTTCATTAGGTACTTTTAATATTGCATGGCTCCCTCCATGTCTCATCACAAATGCTTGTGTGCACTTCATTAATATCATCTCATTTTCTGTACTCTTTTTTTCTCCTAATCCATAAATGACAGATTCAGTCCACAGATCCATTATTTTGTCTATTTCCTTATGGAAATGTGTAAAGTGAATGGTTGATTGTGTTAAGAGTGTGTAATGTATTGGTTTAAGCAAATGTTATGTGAAGTAAAACTTCTGCAAGGCTTGTTGCACTCTGTTGGTTGGAGAAATATACAAGTTTTCATTGTGATATTTCAGCCAGATATAATAATAACAACATTTATTTGAAGACATGTAATGGTTCAAAAGAGGGTTTTAATTTGGATTGGTGAGCACAAGTGTTCATCTGTTCTCTTCACCATGTGTTGTTCTCTCTGCAAGCTGCGTCTGCTGGGATGGCCGCTCCGAATCCCTTCATGTCCGACTTTAGCCCAGCTCCTGGTGGCCAGCATGTGACCTCATCTTCTGCAGTTGGGGGTGGGATGGGATTGTTCGAGGATCAGGGCTTAGGCAATGCAGGCCAAATGAATACTGATGCTTCCACTGATCTCTTTGGTGCCAACTTTAGTTCTGTTGTGGGTTCTGCTCAGGGACCCGCAGTTGGCAGTCAAGGGACAGATTTGTTTGGGGATGTTTCTGGAAGTGATGCCACTATCCTTCAGCCAACTGAAACATCAGGCATCTCTTTAGGGTTTGAAACTGGTGTGGGAGATATAAAGACAGGCTCGGGTAATGAGGAAACTAAGGCAGTGGATGGTGTGAGCATCAGTGAAGGGTCAGAGATAGGGAAACCTCAACAGCCATTCTCATCATTCCCTGCTCCTGTACCCCCTGCCCCAGCTCCTTCTCCTGTGATGCCATCTGGTGCTAATAAGGTGACATCACCACCCCCACCTCGCCCTCCACCACCCACCACAGGAGGAACACCTCGTGTCATGTCTCCTGGCCCTCTGAGTGGGTCCCCGAGTCGTCCACCACCAGCTTCAGCTGCATCCAAGAGCGCATTTGATGATTTGAATGATAGCATCCGAGCCGCATTGGGCAGCTCACCGACTAGACCCCAACCATCTGCTGGTGCTGCCACTCAAGTACCTGGACAGGGTGTGGTACCAGTTCCAGCATATATGGGTGGAGCTGGTATTGCAGGGTTTGGGGGGTTTGACATGCCCCTTCAGGGTCAGCCGGGAGCGGTAATCCCACAACAGCCGCAGGCTATGATACCAGGGGGAGGAGGGATGGTGTTTGGTCCGCCTGGTGGCACTCCTATTGGCTATGGTTCTCCAGCAAAGCAAGGAATAAGCATGACAGGTGATGATGTTCGGATGCTCTCTTTGCATTTTGTTACTAGCTGCTCTGGGTAGTGTTTTGTATGCTGCTAAACAGAACAGAATTGGATTGCAAGAATGCTGAAAATGCATTGTGGTTTTCTACTTGCCTCATTAACTTTGTAATTAATTCATTATGCCAGTTATTTAGAAGCTGTAGCATGCCATGTTGTTTTCTTTTTTCTTTCTTATCCATACTGTAAAATTTAATAGGGTTAGCTGTGTGGTCTTAGTACTTCAATAAAATCTTCTCGGGCTATCAGCCATGACAAATTTTTAAAAGATGTTTTAAAAATTTGACACAGCTGATTGCCCGAGAAGATTTTATTGTGTTACATCGCCTTGAAAGCTTCAAATCATACATCTTAGTACTTCTTATATTGCTTACTTCCCAGTCCCAGCTGTGGCCCCCACACAGCAAGTGAAACTTACTTATTAAGTTCTCAACCACAAGGTTTCACAGCTTGAGATTAATGTGTAACTTCAGCTTTGAAATATAGGTTTTGTCAAATGTTTAGAATATCCACTATTTCGGCAGTAATTTCAGATGCCATCTTCAGAGCGAATATTTAGGTGTTTGGCATATTTGGAGGCCTTATATAGGGGAGGCAGAATTGCCTACTTTATATGAGGCTTTCGAAAATGTTGCTGAAACATTGCATAATTCTTAACATTCAACAGGGCCTTATGCGATAGCTGAAATACACATTACCTACTGAGTACTTCAGAGATAAATTTTAACTCAATATGGTGTCCATTTATATGATTATAGGCAATACAGTGGCATGTGATCGCTCTGAATCATAAAAATTTATTTTAAAATGAAAATGTGATAATGTATACAAAATGTACTGTTGCTAGACCTCATACCATTAATTACAGTATTTGCTTTGATTTTTTTCCACAAACTTTTGAAGAGAGCTATCAAACAGATTTTTTGCTGTTTATGGTCACTAATCTTTCCTTGTGATTTTTTCATAGTGCATTTTCTAAAGTATAATGTGTTGAAAGAAAATCTATGCATAATAGAAGAACCAAAAGCTGCATTTGAACTATGTTCAGTACAGAAACCACTCAGTATTGAAAAATGTTGTTCATTTATGAAAAGTTCATGAACAACAAAGCATAATGCGGGCTGTGTTTCATTGCAAAGTAAGTTGTCCTGGTATGCACATTACGTTGTTCAACTTTCAGATCTTATGTTAACAGACAAATTACGTCACTTTCAAGGCATTAGATGGTAGAGAAAACAACTCTTGTATATGTCATATTTATATTAAAATGAAATATTTTTAGGCATGTTTCACTGCTGTTCATAAGAACCTTTTAGCTCATCACTACACAACAGTGATGATAGATGAATGAATTTTTGTCATAATTGGCTTTAGTTATTAAAATTTATTGATAAAATATTATTTTGATTCAAATAGAACAAGGTCGATGATAAGTGTAGGCAAGGCTCACATACATTTTAGTAAATATTGGCAATTGTGGAATTGGTACAGATTGAAATTGTATTTGTCCAAAAGGCAAATGTCATTCAGTATAATGAATTTATTCTTGGGCTACCAGCTGTGTCAGGTAGTGTAGTGGAGAAAACACCAATGCTTCAAGAACCTTGTTTGTCCTCATCCTCAGGGTATTTGATAGCCTGAAAAGAATTCATTATACGAGGCGCGTCCCAAAAGTAAGTTTCCCTGGGGCCGTTTACAGAAACAAAACACAATTTCATGGAAATATTTATTGCAACAGATACAGCAAGTGTCCAGCTATTTTTCAACATATTCGCCACCGGAATTGAGACATTTGTCATACCGTGGGACCAACTTTTGAATACCTGGG